AGCGGCGGCCTGACGGAGCATTCGAGGAAAGGAGGGCCTCGACTATGCTCTGCTCATCGTCTTGATCGAGGAGGCCAGAGGCGGCGAGCGGCAGCGGAGTGCCTGGCTAGATCAATGGCGTAAGGGGTGGGTCGCCAGCGCCTTGTCTATTCGAAAAGCCTCGACGTGCCACTGCGCAGCTCCCTGAGGCACCTGCGCCTCCCGGCCCGGTAGAAAGAGGGTCGGAGATCGAGGCAGAACCCAAGAATCGTTGGAAAGCGCCTTCAATGGTCGGTACCAAACCGCGCCCGGCCAATGCGGGGCGAGAACAGTGGCTTGGACGCGCGGAAGATCGTGAAGGAGCTGAACCACGCGAGGTAGCAGAGACCAGGGGGGATTGCACCAATTGTTCTCCTCCGGCCAGTTGTGCTGGGCGAATGCATCCACGCCCTCTGACCCTACGTCGCCCCACCTTGAGTTGAACCGTTCGAGCTAGCGGTTGAGGCAGCTGGCAAAGCAGTCGATAGTGTGTGGGCCCCAGCGCAGATCTAGGCGCCGAAACCACGTGGGGCATAGGCGCCAGTCCTCCTTGTCCGTCTCCCGGCTGAGCGCATCTGCAATCGCGTTCTCTGTTGTTGAAATCCATTGGGGCTGCACCGTAATGCGATGTGTGTCCAGCAGCCACCACAGTTTGCGCAGCTCGCGGTGCAGAGGTTGAGCCCTCGAGCGCCATTTTTCCAAAATGCAGCAGACCGTCTGGCTGTCCGTTTGTAGATGCACTGTTCGATTGGTCAAGTTCCTCAAGAGACACTTGATCCCCAAACGGATCGCTTCCAGCTCTTTGTAGTTGATGTGCCAAGTCCTCTTCTGCGCCGTCCAGAAGCCTCACGCTATCAGGGGCTGGGCCGAGGTTAGGCAATGGGGATCCTCCAAGGCGGCGCCCCATCCAAAATCCGAGGCGTCGGTCACCATCGATGCTGATGTTGGTTGGCGTAGAAAGGCTCGGCCCTGCCACCTGTCTGGAACTTGCGTCCACCAACGGAGATCCGCCAATGCCTCGCGACTGAGGCGCACTGGGGAGCTCCAGCTCTGTTTGTTCCGTAGACTGGAGAAGAGCTCGCGCAGGAAAAACTGGGCTGGGGCAATCGCTGGGGCCACGGCATTCGCCTTGCCGCAGAACTGGGCCACCTTCCTGGCCGTGACCAATCGTGCATTCAAGTTGCTGTTGACGATGATGTCCTTCGCCAACTGTTGGAGGACTCTCAAGGAGTCTGGCGGGCAAAGGAACATGGCCCGCCATGAGTCCACAACCAGGCCGAGGTGAACCTTCGAAGTCACTGGTTCCCAGATGGATTTGGAGTCTTTGATCTCCAATCCTAAGTCGCTTAGGAGCGCCCTCACTAGGACACCCCAGGCTCGCAACTTCCTCCTGTCGCTTCCTGCCCCTAGGAAGTCGTCCACATAGGGCAGGATGTTGATGAAGTAGTTCGCCTCCCACAAGTGGCGAAGGGAGGGAAAATTCAAGGGAGGACACGATATGCTATCCTGCGGTGCCCTGAGCAAGGTGACTAATGGGCGGAGTAGTTTTGTGAAGTAGAACGGACTCCCGCACCACCCGAAGGAAAGGGTGGGTACCTCCCAGTACTCGCCATTCACTTGAATCGTCACATATTTGATGAAGTCCGATTGTAGTCTCAGATGCATGTAGGCGTCGCGGAAATCCCAAGCAATCATCCAACTCTCTGGTCCCATCCAGCCGGAGAGTGTCGCCAGCATCTCGAAACGGGTTGTCGGCACCCGACAATGTGCGTTGAGATGTCGGAGGTCGATCACTAAGCGATAACCCCCCGTCCCGTTTCGGTATTAGGAAGGCTCTGCTGACGTAATCCTGGCATGATGCTGGTCTGAGAGCCCCAATTCGGATGTAGCGTGGTAGAATCTGGTCTTCCCAAGCCGTCCGATGTTCCCCTTGCATGACAGAATTCCCATGATGGAACGGTCTCGGTGGTCTGGACTGCCATGAGATGGGGACACCGTCCCGGATCCAGCTCAGAACCCGAAGGTCCGATGTCATCCGTCTCCATACTGGTAGGGCTGCCCGGACTCAACACGCCGGGAAGTCTCTGGGGTTGACGTTGTACTTGCGGTATAGGGACCGCAGTTGTCGGTATCGGGTGCGCGACAGTACCGAATGTCCAGCGTGACTGGGCATTGATTGAAGTCGCGGCACCTGACAAAGATGACACACCAGGGACGCCCCACGCGCCTGACGTGCCTGCTACCCGGCGACCTGCCCTGCGTCGCCAGTTACCCCGTCCCCGCATTCTCGCGAGGCCGGTACCCAAGGGGGGGCTAGGCGTTGCCCCCTTTGTTGGAACCGTTGGAGCCGCCCCTGCCCTTGCCGCCAGTCGGATTGCCTTGGCGCTTGCTGTTGTGATCTCCACCCCGCGAACGATTTCCCGCAGTTTTGGTGGATCCATCGGCGATAAGCTTCCCGTGGGCTTTGCGAACGGACTCGAGCAATTGCTTGTCGTACTGGACGGCGATTGCGGGCCTGTATGCCGATTGCTGACCTTCCAATGCGAGCGCAGCCTGGAATCCTGCTGCGGCTGGGACGCCGCGGCGATCGAACTGAGCACGGTACTCGTGCACCCTCAAACGGGCCAGCGCCGCGTCCAGTGTCTGCTGCAAAGCCTCGGTCACGCCCACCAACTGCGCTCTCTGGGGGTGGGGGAAGTTGGGGTGCCCGACAATCAAACATAACTATGCCACTGCGTCAAACAAGTAGCTCGCCACAGGCGCCCACCCAGCGACTTCGTGAAAGAAAGGGCTGTTCTCGCCCAGCTCTTTAGCCAGTCGTTGACCGTAGCAAGTGTCGAGGATACTGAAAGGCTTGCCTGCACCCCGCACCCACGGAGGTCTGCCAACTGGATTGGACTCCCAATGCGAAAGCCCCAAGGCTGAGTCACAACAATACTCTTGCAAAGGGCGATCCGGCAGGCAGCCCGTCAATGCGACGCACACTGATTGGTAGCGTTCCAGCAGCTCCGTCTCTTGGTTGGGCTGGTTCGCTGCGGCTCCTCCAGCTCCACCAGAATGCCCCCCCGCGGCAGATCCACCGGGGGCGGCCAATGCAGCTTGAGGCTGCTCCAAGATCTTCAATCTGGCGTCTACAGACGCGGAGAACTGCGCCAGCTGTTCCGAGATCTGGTTCAGCTGGGCTCCGAGGTCTCCCATGAAGGGAAGGCACGGCACAAGTCCACTTGCGCCGGGGTGCAGCGTGGATCGCAGTCCACGTGGAGAGACAGAGTTCCCAAAGGGCCTGCGCTGGCTTCACTTCGCGAAGTGAAGCAGCGAAAATAGTGGTGACACAGCGAGGTGCATAGGCTTACAACAAGAGTGCGACCTCGGCTGTGGTGAGAGTGAGAAGGTGTCCATTGACTGACGGAAAGGCCAAAACCAGACTGCGTGAGTGTCCTTCACAAATCGTCCCGCCCTGGCCTATCCGTTCAATTTAAACTCTCTTTACTGATCGTAAAGGCCACTTCTTCCTTTCACAGCCAGGGATGCCGCGCACCATTCCCGCCATGTCCTTTGTTGCTGAGTCCTATGTGTCAGAAAGGATCCCACTGACTGCCCTTACATGGTGTTTTTGGGTATTGCAGTACTCTACGTGCAATCCCCCGTACAGAGGGATGCGCCTATCATCTTTCGGTTGTTCTGACTACATGACGCCCATCTGTCTGACTTCAGTCAATGCCGCCTCATTTCCTTGTAATGTTCTGCGGATTTCGCAGCACCTTCCCATGCCTATATGCATCCGCACTGGGTGTACATTCCCCTTTATAGCACTGTTAGAAAATGCTTTTTCTGTGACTGAAATTGTGGCATACTCGGGCCACCCCATTCAATGAGATCATTGGCCGTAATTGTGAATGTCCCAGAACGAGCAAAGATGGCTGTTCATTACAGCTCATTTTGAGGTAACTCGAACAGGATCTCAACAAGCAAGCCTTCGGCTGTCCCTCCACGCGACCTCATAATAATTTTAGCAAAATCTGATGATTATAGATGTCAAGCGTCGAGCACGTGCTCTCCGGACGGTTACCCGGTATTATGCTATCAACCACATGCATCCGTCTCACCAAGCGCTTGTAGCGAACCATGCACACGTGCACCTGAGAACCTCACATACGAGGAGAAGGTTGGCAGTGCCCCGAGCTGAGCATGTAGTTCAAATGTGCAGCGTCGGCAATTCGCCAGAAATTGCTCAATATCATCTTACACCTGTTGGCCCATCGGTGCAGTCAGAAGATGCACCCAATGGCAACTGTGCTCACGGTCGCAAGCGTTCATTCTGGCGGATGCTTTGGTGGCGCTTAATTGACATCGAGGCGGATGCCAAGGGCACTGACGCTGCTACAACAGAATTGCGATTGTCACAAACAAGACTGGGCCACACAAAGCGTGACCCTGTCCTCTAGGATGCATCAGTTTTCCTCACAACACACTAAACCTGAGATATAGAACAACCCTGCAAATTGTGTTTGACGCTCAGGATACAATATCTCTTGTGCAACGGGTGGATCACGAAACAAGAAACAAACTGTGTGCAGAAATTTCTGGCACCACATAGGCCGATGTCCCTGCAGCCTGGGGCGTGGCTCCCTTTCCTCTGGCTCACTGCAGTATGACCACTCCCTCCCTTGTAACCGTGCCAGATTCTAATATCGCCAACCCCTTAAGTCATTGGCCAATTGATTGGTTGGGCCTCCTGCTCAGGAAACCTCCACAACCCATTGACAGTGGCGAGTGCGCACTAACGAACGTGCGGCAGCATGCTGAGGTGAGCCCCCGAGAGCGCCCCTGTTCCCGCCATTTGGTTGCACCCTGCAACTGTCGGACAACCATGTCAACCACAGGTCCGTCGACGTCAGCAACCCCTGAACTTGCCCTCAGCTGCAACCCCTGTACCTTGAAAGCTTCTCGCCGAGAAATACTTGAAAGCACAAAGCAAGTGATCACGATTTGCTGAGGTCCGGCAACAGCAGCTCTGTATACGGTATGGGTTTGCTCGCATTTGGAAACTTCATGACGTCCAGCATGTGGGTGGTGAAGTCCTTCACCTTCACAGTGCCCAGCTTTCCTCCATGGGGCCCGACTATGAATGTACGATCCTTAGGAATTCCGGCCTTTTCATACGCCTTGATGTCGGTGCCCGTGTTTCCGTATGCTGCAGCAATCTGCAATCCCTTGCTGACCAACTCCCTCATGTACTGCACCTGCACAGCGCCAGCAACGCGTCAGCAAATACTGCTATAGACTTGGCGATGCAGCAGCGAACTCCATAACAAAAGTGCATCATAACGGGATCAGTCCAACTCACAAACATATTTCCTGCAGTTTTCCAGGCGGGCATCCAATAACCCAAACACACCCCATGGGGAGCAGACAGCGCTCGGTTGTGACCGTTTGTCAACCTTAGGCTGGGAAATGGGCAGTCTGGAGGTCTCTGGAAGGCGAGTACGGAACCCCATACTCTGGTTTTGTCAACACCAGTTCTGGCGAGAAGAGGGAGATTCCCATCACAACAAATTTTGTTGCAGGACACACAACTGTAGTTGCACGAAGTATGTAATTATGCAGGCATCCAATGTGAATAACTGCACAAAGTCCTTGCTGACGAACGATTGACTGGGTATCCATTCCCCACTCCTTGCCTACGTAGCTGCACGCCCGCAGCTAATAACCTCTTGTGCTATTCAATCTCTGTTCTGGCATTTAAAGGGCATGCTGCACCCCTTGGCCACCATACGTTCTCATCCTTCTTGTGAGCACCTGCTGATGGTGGTTTCTGTTGTCGGAACATGGCAACAGGGGCGCCACCCTACCACTCAAGGTTTCGCTCAACGTTGGCTCGCTGCCTGACTGAAAAAAGTCTACACATGCACAAGCACCGTATAACATCTGCATTCACTCTCTCGTGCTTCCCGTAGCTACATACGCGGGAACGGTTTGCCACAAACACCGCGCCCTTTCTTATGCAGAGAATTTGATGCGTCGTGCACGTCTGTTGCCATTTCCTTTGATCTGCCAAACAATTGTCTCCCTCAAGGTTCACAACCACGCACGATACGAATTCTGATCATCTTGCGGGCATGCGGGATCAATGGAAATGGAAAACAATCTCGGCCTTCTTAATCACTCGCACACACCTTGAAATGGCCCACTGAAACGTATACAGGCAGTGTGGGCAGGTGCGTCCTCGTGAGGTGAATGGGCCCAGGCGGATACCCATGCCTGATGAGCCACTCCTTGGTCATGTTGTATGCAGAACCCTGCCGACCGCTCAAATAGACCACTTGATAGCCCTTGGCAGCCCAAGCCCGACACACCGTGAGGGCGCTGGCCCTCTGTTTCAGGTCATAGTTGCGACCAAGGGAGCTGCCAATCACCGTTGACACCGAGACAGAGTCCAGCAGAACCTGCAAAAGTGTAGAAAGCGCATGTCATGAGAAGCTGTGCCACAAGCACCCCAGTGATGGCAAGCTTGCCTCAAGCAGCGCCTGCTGATAAACCACTACATTCGCCATCCCCATGGTGCAACAATACTGCAGGTGCTGCTCAGCATAGTACAATGAAGAATGTGGCAACCAAAACATCAGAAATATATGTGCTCCCTATACGAATTGTTCCATTGTGACATGCAAAGAAAACGCATGCATTTGCAAATTTTCCCGCAATACGTCCGAACTAGTATTCGTTAACAGCAACAACACATGTTGCGCCCAACTGCAGCCTGTATGGTCAGGCAGAGGCTCAGCAACCACCGCATAGGATTTTCCTGCCGACGTCTGTGGTTAACAACAAATGTGGTGGGCAGTCTGTATGGGGAGAGGACGTGACACCCACTCAATGTCATTACATCGTCCCACTTGTGGCCTTCGAGCACGAAGGAAAGCAAATCGCACAACATTTACACAAAACGAATATTGAGCCTTGGGCTTGAGAAGAGCTGGATTGACACGTGGTGCAGGATTTGGTGGCACTGTCAAGGGTGCAAACTTGTAATGACCTCCCGATACGAATTCTTGATGCCGCCATGGCAAACCGTTCCACAGCAACCATCATTCGAAATCATGGAACATCATTAGTAGCTGCCAACATGCAATTCATGGCCATCCAGGTGCAGGCACAACATAACTACATATGGCATTCAAGCACCTACGTATCTGCATGAACACCACAGCTGCAAGCAAGCTGACTCAGTGGCTTATTGCCCAAGGCGGGTGCGCTCTTTTTGCGATGGGCATTAACCCAACTGATCGCATTGACACCACCACCAATCCCAAAACTGTGTTGTCGTTCCCAATTCTGGTGACATGCAATGCAACAAAGTCAATGGCAGCATAGCGCAACAAGCTAGCCGCCGGGAAACCCTGGCAATACAAAGCCACAGAGCTATAAGCCAGCTAGAGCTATGTGGTCACCTATTCACCTGTGCAACGACATGGGCATCGCTTGTGGTGACGGTTCCATCAAGATCGAAGACAACACACTGTGTGCCTGGCTCCAACATGAACATGGACCCGCGACCAAAGGTGTTGTCATCAGGAAGAAGGCCCAGCACCAGGTAATGTCCTGCCGCCAAACAGGACAGCTTCGGAATTTCAGGCTGGGATGTGGGCCCAACAAAACGGCTGACAATTGCGTTGTTTTGCTGGGTGTTGCCCCTTCCCACATGTGCTGCCGTGCAAGCTGCCAATGCAACACTTCACTGTGCAAGAGCGCTAGAATATCTGCATTTCCACAGGTTGTCTGCCGTTCAGCGCAAATTGTTGAGGGCAAGGGATGAAATGGCAATATTCAGTGGTGGAAATGTATTCCAACAGAGAAATGCCTGGCAGAATCTGCCTTCTGCGAATGAGTACCCCAACCAGATGGTGAAGTTCTGTATGCTGCAGTCAGCCGTGATACAAGGCACAATCACGATGGAAATTCATGTCTACATCAACATGCGATCATGCCAACAGGGGCTGTGCATTTACATCACATTCTCACTGCGGGTTCCTACTTTTATACTTCTCTCCTTTCCTGTCAAGGGCCAATTCTGCTGTACGGGTGAGAGAGTTTCAGATCCTGATTCAGCATGACAGCTTGCAACACAGTGTGTCAAAACACCGTATGGCACATCGTTTCAACTTAGTACAATGTCAAACACAGTGAATATTATTGCCAACTGTACAAAACTGTCCGTCGCTGATTGTCCTACAGGCAACGCGTCCCATCTCCGTTAGGACAAATTCTGTCCTCTTTACACTTCTATGCACACAACGTTCTTGACCAGCGAAGGCTCCCATACAACTTGCGTACCATCAAAATCACACACTATCTTCTTGGATTTGCGGCACGCCATAAACCCATCAGAGCAGACAGTCTGGAGGAAAAGAGCACAACTGTTTCGCAACGGGGATACTTTGATGCAAACAGAGTGGCAAAAATGTGCAGGACAAAAAGAAGTTAACAGTGAATTCTCTAGAGTCTTCCACTTGCCTGGACTATAGAGAAATTTCTCTGGCAGTTCAACATGCAACCTCCCTGATCTGGACGTCTCCTTGCAGCCCAAATATACAGTGCTGGGGGCGGAGGCGTCCACAGAGTTAAATCCGCGACGCATGAAGACGTGGACTCCGCGTTGAGATGCAGGCCTGCCAGTGAGGGGCAACAAGTCGTGAGCATCGTGGAAAATGGTACAGGATCGTCCTGCTTCAAAGGCAGTCTTGACATCCCTAATCAATACCTGCTAGTCCGTCGAAGCCAGCGAAGGACACTGTACACGTGTTGTTCTTATTACGCACACTTGTGGCGATATGACGTGGCCGTGCCAATTTCAACTGCATCACTATTGCTCGAATGTCAGGCAATACCAAAACATACTGCTGAGGCATATGAAATACAATGGTGAGTATCGACACAGTCTCAAAATGTCCAAATGGAGCACGGCTGTCATAACCTGCAAACTGTGAACATGAAAACTGTTGGCCACACCTGTAGGCACCATATTCGAATTTGCCAGTGACAGCTGGTGTCGGCTGAGCCTTTTCATGCTTAGGAACCAGTGATTTCCCAGAAGGGGGCTGGCGTTCCTTTTTGGAAGGCGGCAGTTTGTCCACAATTCCAGAGCTTTGGGCCATCTCAATGCTCTTCTGTTTGTTGCCCCCAGAGGCACTGCCCTCACTAGTTTCAGTTGTTGAGTTCTCTTCCCCATCCGCTTCTTCGGCCTCTATCTTTTCCAGTTCTGCCAAATACTCCTTAGTCAGGGAGTCAAATCTGCAGCTCTTGTCAAAGTCATCGGTCATCGGCATCTCCTGCATTTGGTCCACGGCTTGGCGCCAGTCCTCCGAACCCAGCGAATTGGCGCTGCTCATCGTTGCATCATAAGACTCCCAGATCTGCAGCAGCCACACAGCCTCATGGCACCATAAGCCTAACTCAAATTCAAAAGGCAAGGAAAGATGAGCACTGCGGGGAAAACAAGCTGTTCCCATTGCAGGATAGCACTCTTCCTTGATCACACATTAAGATAGGAGGAAGTATAATCACTCATGACTTGTAAATGCTTGCCAAGGACGCCACAAAGTTCACCCAACAGCAAAGAACGGCTCAGTGCCGTCATGAAAAGACTTTCCAATAGAACTGGTGGGCTCACTAAATCGCTATAGCAAGCACTGAATCAGCAGTGTTCACTTCACACAATATTTTGAAGCATCCAGCACACCAGTGGCCCAACTCTTGCACTGATTCTGGCATACGATTGTGAAGTTTCTTCATTCTTTAAACTGCGTCGTTTATTGATGTGTGCATCCAGAACGAGAGAACAAGTTTTGCAAATGGCAAGCCCTGCACCCCAAATGGAGGATGGAATCGAGTCACTGATGACCTTCCCAGCCCCCTTCTGAGCTCCTCCTCACCCGGGCGCCCGCGTTTTCACCCAACACCCCTGTGAGCAGGTTGGCTGTTTCTTGCAAGTCCACCCCCTGCCCTGCTGCCTGCAGCTCCAGATTTGCTTTGATGGCAATGTCTTGCTCCTCTTTTGGCAGAGCAGCAATCGACGCTGCCTCTCCTGGTCCAGACTCCAACAAGGCCACAACTTTCTGTTCTTCTCTCTTCTTCTCTACTGCCAGCTTCACAAGGTCTGCAAAAGACTGGGAAGCGCACCAGATGTTGTCATGTGAACACAACCAGTGGTTGACCTGCCAGAGCCGCTCCACCATCTTGTCAGCACTGCAGCGCAGCAGCAAGTCATACCAGACATCAGAACGGGGTCCAACAATAGACAATATGCTTCAGCATGACAATTCCTACCATGTTCTCCCTTATCTGTGCAAAGATTCTGAAGTTCTTGCTATGCTGGGAATCCAGCACAACTCTCTTGCACACCACATAGCATTATTCTGGATAAAGAATTATCTCACACAAATGGTGGCTTCCAAGGATGGGGTTGCCCACTGTTGGCCATCGGCAATCGGCTGCCGCCAAATAGCAACTGCTAGCTGAGAAACATACCACACAGAAATACGCAAGAATAATAAATATAATATATATAGTAATTTTGTTGGTGCCACATTCAACGATAGCGACCCTGTGCATGTGACGAACACATCGCACTTTTCATCTCCTGGGAACCAGCTGGAGGCAGACTGGCACCAACAAAATTACTGGCCAAATGCTCTACCACAACCAGTCATGCGCACACAAGATCGGATGACCATGAAGTCATTTGAAAGACAGTAAGCCATTGCTGTGTCACACAACAATTCCAACCTATGAACTAAACTACTACGTACACCAGCGGACGACCATAGATTTCTGAACTCTCTTTAGTTTCTACTACAATGCTTTAAAAAGTATACAGCAACCCACCTTGTGCCTCGGAATTTCCTAGCTGGCAGGAAAACATAAGCTGGGCCTTCGTACCCTCCATCATCGTGTGTGCCCCTTGACCATCCATAGCCCACTGTCAACTTCATGGTGCCGATTTCCTTCCCTGCTGGAGACAACACCTTCTCCTCTCGATCGTGAACCCCTTGTGCAAGGTCAGACACTGGCAAGTTGACCTGCCACAAGACAGTTATGAAGCCATAAAACACCCTTCAATCATCAGAAATTTCTTGCAAAGCACTAACATGTTTGGTTTAGCTGCCACAGAGTTCCATTTCCAGCATCATGCTCTTCTCTGATATTATGGCCACCTGACCAGGGATATAGTGTGGAGCTGGACACTTGTCTGTGCGCATGCAAACATCAATGGGGCGACATTCACAACAGTGGACTGTGTCTTGCAACACCAATTGTATCGGATCTGCCAGACACCCCCTGGAGTGCCGAGTTCCTTCTTCAAAGCTGTGCATTCACTTTCATTTGACCAATCGTTTGGGCTTTACATCAGCATGCACTTTCTTGTATGGATCCACAAGGCCTGCACTCTCTACTCTAGGTTTGGGGCGCCTAAATGATGTACTACTTCGGAATGAAGACAATGACAGCCCCAAGAACGTTAGAATCCTGTTAGAACATCCCAAAGTAGCACAACTAGGCCAAATACATTTCCATGCCTTAATCGCCCTCAATCGATTTTCTGAAAGGCGATCGGCTTACTTTGGATGCTTACAACAATTTTCATTGATGCAATCGCAAGGGGGGTGTGGGGGTGTGGGGGTGTGGGGGTGTGGGGGTGTGGGGGTGTGGGGGTGTGGGGGTGTGGGGGTGTGGGGGTGGGGGTGGGGTATGCTCAATAGTAACACAAGCACACACTGTTTGGATGCAGTTGTCCCTGTATTTGCTTCATGAGGTGCAAGTGCTTGTTCACAAATGTGCTATTACTATAACAAAATTGAGCTCCAGACACCTTTCCAAGTATCCTTGTCGCCAGCTCCAGGCTCTGCAACACTTCGATCGTGATCACCGTGCTGCTTCGAATAACAACAAAGCAGAACGTCGCTCGGTCATCATATTGAATGTCGCCATGCTTGTCACGCCCTCCTGGAACATTGATCGTCTGGTCTCCATCGCACTTGGCACGCAGAAGAGGATGTTTCACTGCCAGCACAAAGCACCAGAATGTGAGCACGTTCCTCTGCATGCAACGATGTTTGTTCCCTGAATGCTCCCTCAGTTCCTTTGATTTCCTTTGTCAAGGAAATACAAAGCACAGCCTTTGCACCTGGCAGGCATTGACAAGTGTAAATTGACACACAGTGTTTGCTTGGGCTGCTTTGCTCAGTTCTCTATGACCACTCCGTCCTAAATGGCGACCTGCGAATGGGTTGCAACTAGGAGTTTTGTGACAAGCTGCGGTGCTGACATTTCCAAACTACATCGTCACTGGTGGGAATATCTGGCGTGGGCTTTGGCAGCAAACATGCGGCATTGCCAAAGAACTGTTGCTGTATCCAGTTGCAATCTACCTGCCTAGAATATTGTTCCAACGATCAAATGGTGAACAGGGCGGGCCACTACATGGACAGGTTGTTCTTGGCTGATTCTGTGTTGGCATCTGTTGTGGTAAACCAGAGAAACGAGGAAACCAATTGACTGGGTGACTGGAAGCTGTGGGCCCCACTGCTCCAGCGCTGCTATTGTTTTAAAGCGCTAATGGCTAGTGTGAGGCTCGTCCATATATCTTTGCGATCCAGAAATGTCTTACCTCCTTGCAGGGCAGTTATGCTTGTAACTCGAACAATGAGAAACCCAATGAAAGGATTGCCAGATGGCCATCGAATCTGCACAATCCGCACAGTGAGCAGTTAGTGACATGACACAATTGTGTGTTGACACACGCTTCAATGAGGACACAGCAACACAGTGAGAGTTGGCTGCGCGTGGCTGTGACATGGCTCTTCTATACACTTGGAACATCAGCATGTACTTGGCAAGGCAAACTCGCACAAGAGAAGGGTTGTCACAACTGAGCCTACAGCCCACCAGGATCAGGTGAACAGAATTGACATAACAACAGATTTGCATTCCAATGCTCAAACAGCAGCAGGAATCGATGATGGAGGAGAGGTCTTCAGTGTTCAAGATACACTGCTGATATCTGGAATTCAGCCATGCGATTTTGTGGCCAAGATTTGTAGCTACCATTCCCAAACCCACATTGATCTAAGCACAATCTGAAGATGTTGCACAGCTTCCCCCACACTCCTCTAAGCTTATAGCAATTTGTTGTCTTCTAAAATAAGAAAAGGCAAGAGCAATTGCACCCAGTATCACAGCACATGTGCATGCAATCGTGTACTTCACCTCTGTGTTCAAACAATGCAGACCAGAGGTCACACAAAGTGTGTATGCTATTCAACACTTGCCTGTGTGCTGAAAGATCGATGCCGTGCTAATCAATGCTGTGCATCATGCTCACCTCAAGGTTCATACTCCGCAGTGCTCTCAACTGTTCATATAATTCTCGGGCCTTGAACCTTCGAAATGCACTCTGTGCATGCAAATGCAATTGACACAAACGATTGGGATCCTGCAGTCGAGCTTATGGCTGGAGCACAAGCATGTGAATCGGGATGCCCCAGAATTGTGCACTGATGACACAATTAGTGGCAAATCATGCATGTTGCATGGCTTAAGTAAACACATTATCTAGTCCTGAGGTGAAGGGGTGGGAACACAAGTTTGGCAGTGCCTGTGCTGTAACTCCGATGCACAACAGCAAATGACAGGTATAGTAGTTTTGATTGGTCAGAATTGTCTTAAAATATGGCCCGGCACACCACACTTCATGGATGCCATTATACAATGCTGACAACAGCACCAAATCACCATACTCTTTGGTAGTTTTGCTTGCTCGAACACAAATCCTGGTACATAGCTCCCCATCTTGAATTCTGTTAATTGGCACACTGTTGTTGAATTTGACAAATGGAATCCTGGAAGGATATACAGCCACAACAGAATAGAAAGATATGCCTCCAACAGGCATAACACACCTGAATTCTCGTTGCTGCATTGTCCTTTTCTGGAACCTTCCAGTCGGGCTCAATCACCAGTGTGTTGCCATCGGGCACAGCGCCAACCTTGAGCTTCTGCAGAGGCCCAATCCATGCTTCAAACTTTCCCCTGCAATCAGGGCATACTAGAACAAATGCTGTGGATGGAACTTTGCCTGTCACCATCTTCAAGGCTGCAAGGGCAGGGGATAGTCATGTGCACAGATGGAACCCAATCTGTCTGGAAGTGTATTGGCTGCAGTCTGGACAGCCATTTGTTTATCAACCCACATACCCTCCGCAAGACTGCAACACAGCCACCTCGATTTGGTTACGAAGTTGTCCTGGACATCTGCTGAAATGGCACATACCTGGCCTTCATAATGCACAGTAGCTGGCGCCTCAGTCTCCAGGGGCTGTGGCACCTCCGCCTTGGCAGTCTTCTTGCCCTGAAATCCTGAGAAGAGCTTTGACACAAACGCTGGTATCTTCTTCTTGCCAGAATTCTGGTCCGCCTACAACCAAGACCATGCAAAGTGTGCTCAACAGGCTGAGTATCTCTAGCTGCAGTTGAAGACTATCGTGTTGACAGAAAGGAACCATGTCAGTGGGCAAACCTCTCCAGAGGAAGAATACTGTGAGCCTCTTCTTGGTACTTTCATGCGATAAGAGACTCCACATCATTTTTCAACGTATGGGGGTCTAAACTGTTTTTCTTGCTCAGGAGAGGCATCTTCTGTAAGGGCTGTTTGTCTTTTGCTATGACAGTGAATCCCTTATCATCGCAATTCAAAATTATATGTGCCAAGGAAGATGACAGAGGGCTCTCCGAGTTCAGCAATAGTACTGCACACAGCAGAGACCAAGATTCATGGCCGCACGCCATGCATTGATGTGGGCACGTAGTATTCATGCGTGCACAAGCATTTGTCTGTGTCAGGGAGCAGTCGTTGTGCGCAAATACGGATGTCCACTTTGACGCCTGCGTCCATGAATGCGTTTTCTGCGCATAGATACCAAGCACACCGTCCACCAATCTACAAATTGATGTGGCGGCCACCTAACCGTTGTTTAAGTTATAGTGCCGATGAACCAATGCCTGGCACTCCCTCCAAGCTAGCGCACGTTTTCGTCCTCGATGCCCAGGGCGTTGCCTCAAGGCAGCTGGTACCGCTCCTGGCGAACTCCGCCACTGTAGACACACCGTCGGCCCACATGCCGAACCCAACATAGCGAGAACGCTGCCTGCACCCCAGCCACGAATATCAATGCTCCGGCGCTGCTGGGCGCCACTGCGCCCGAACGCTGTCTTCGCATCATCACCGCAGAATCTCCCGTCTCGTCGAAGCTCGCGCCCCTCCAGGCCATGACCGTGCGGCGCCCAACAAGGAGAGGGCATTGGCGATGCGTGGGGCCGAATGGCAGGCATTTGACAAAGAACCATCCATGAGCCGGGCGAAGCGCCAAACTGCGTCCTAGCGCCAACACAAGTTCTGTGCTCGAAATATGATCTCCCAGCCAAGCCCACCCAATCCTCTTGGTCAGTGCGCTGTCGCAGAGCGTCCAGAGTTTTCATTTTTCCCCAGAACCATGAGGCTAAACCTCGCACGGGCCCAAAGGCACGTCCGAGGCCACGTCCACGATCCCAACACCCCATGCACGCGAATCCATGTCTGTATCTTTCCAGATCCCCGCTGGACGGCTTACTCCAATGGCTCACCATGCTTGCCGGAGCAGATGCCGCAGAGTGCCCCGGATGGGTCTCGATGGCCGACGGCGACTATGGGCCTAGCCGGTGCAGGCGCCAGTGGGAGCGCAGCCCCGGCTTGGAGACAGCGCGCGGATGTGTGCGCGATAAAGCCCGGACGTTGGGGAAACCGCCGCCCAGCGGTCTGGCGCCAGGTACGTGGAGACCGTGCCCACTGAACTGGCCTTGGGAGGCAATGACGCCCCCCCAGTGGCAGCGAGCAGCACAACGTTAACTTTCCTTTGTCATCCAGAGCGCCGATTACAGCACAACGCCCTGCAGAGTGCCATACACGAACTTTCGCGTATTTTGCACTGCTGCTGCTCCCGACCTGCCCACCGTCCACATTCCGCTCTCAATAGTTCTCAATAGTTTTGACATCCGTTCATCAAGTTGAGGGTTGATGGGCGACCCAAAAAAAAAGTGATGGGGGGCGAAGAAATTGTCGTTCAAAGGTCGGAAAACCGCTCCTATCCACCGACCGTTGATTGCCGCCACCCCGCCGTGCGCACCGCCCCCGGCCCTGGCGAGCTGCCGCAGGCAGCGGCGATCGAACGCACGGCCGGTCGCCACCCCGCCGATCCCCGGGCCCCCGCGCCGCGATCCGAATGGCGATCCTCAACACGCACGCCTTCCCGGTGGTCCGCGCCGGCCCTTCACGCTTCCTGGCCGGCTTCTACGTCGCCAACTTCCTCGTGATGGCGTCATACCTGCTGGCGCGACACCACTTCATCCTGCACGGCGAGCGCAAGTACAGCCGCCTGACCGGGCCCAAGGAGCTCTACGATTGGGAGAAGCAGGCCTGGGGCCTGTTCGCGGTGGCGATGGTTGTAAAGTACCCGCGGTCTGCGTCCCTGGACGGCTTCTTTTCCGCCATGTTCCTCTACGCCAAGGCGGTGATCGGCCTGATGACCTGGATGTTCGACGTGCGCATGTTTTGGTGCTACATCATCCTCTTCGTGACGCTGTTCCTGATGCTGCCCCAGCCAGTGTACGAGGGCCCGGACAAGATCGAGTACCTGATGCCCTACATGCTGAACGACCTCACCAGCAGCAAGGACAGCGTGACCTGGCTGGTGGAGTTCTTCGCGCACTGGTCGCCCACGTGCGTCCACCTGGAGCCGGTCATGGCCGACCTGTCGCTCAAGTACGGCACGGAGAAGCTGCGGTTCGCGAAGTTCGACCTGGCACGCTGGCCCGGCCAGGCCAAGCGGTTCAGGATTAACATGGCGGGCGCCAGCCCGCAGCTGCCGACGCTGATCATGTTCGAGGGGGGGCAGGAAGTGGGCAGGATACCGCACGTGTACTCGGACGGCTCTGTGGCCAAGGGCCGATACGGGCGGGGGGACATCATAAAGGGCTTCGAGCTGGACAGCAGGTACACCAGGACGAAGGCGGAGGAGGCCAAGAAGCGGGTGAACGGGAAGGAGCAGGGCGACGCGGAGGGCAGCAAGAAGGAGAAGTGACGCGGAGCGCCGGACTGCGGGCAAAATGGGCTGTTGGCAGATCTGTGCGAGTGGATGGGCTTTGTGTGGGCGATGCTTGGGCACGAGTGGCGATCGGCAAATGGAGTCGGTGGCGCTGCGGCTGGGTGGGCAGAATGCGGCCACCGAAAGGCTTCTTCATGAGAGGAATGGAAGTTCCGGTGGCGGTTGGAGGGTATATCATCTTGGTCAGCTGTGTTGGCTATGGCTAGCTGGCGAGCTTTGGTGGTAGAAAGATGGGCATAGATTTGGAGCCCTTTGGTCGATGGGGGTCACGCTGAGACATGGCCGTGAGAGGATAGCTGCCATGGCGGCCTGTCAAGGTTGTAGCCAACCTAGTGGTGGAAGGTGCTGAATAACTTGGTTGCCTGGGCTTCATAAACGACGTATTCAGCACATGAGTGACGTCAGTCCAGAAGGTCACTGTTTGATGTACCACACATGCAACTGCATGTCGCACCCAGGTGAAGGTACATGAGCTGTGCTTGTTGAGCGCAAATGGGCAAGAGATTCGCATGCAAGGAACAGTTTGCAATTTGCGCTTCAAGCTGACCTTGAATCAAGATATTCATTTCCTGTATCTCCGAGTGTGCTTGAGTTGCATCCCTACTCTTCTGCACAGTCGACGTTCTACTAGGCAGCAGAATGCTGCACAGCCAATCCCGAGAGTGCTGACCCCTGTGCTGGCACAATTCAGCTCTGCGAAATACAACTCAACGTGATCCACGGAATGGCGGGAGTTGAGCTACATTGGGATGGGTTATCGTTGAAGCACAGGGCACTCATTGACGCTTGCACAGTTCATGGCATGACACTCGGCTTCCCGACAGTACAACAGTTGGCTTTACGCACAGAATAGGCCATGGCTTGCCTTTTGAGAGCACCTGCATGTTTTGGCCCGATATCCATCTACCAATACAACGAAGGAGGGCATGGCATGTAGCTTTCTGCATTGGGGCACCGTCCGGATGCCCTTCATTGCCTTGCAGGTGCTGGAGTTCATTTTCCAAAAGGACAGTTGTTTTCAGGTGATATATGCACTGAGGTGCCCAACCAGAGGCAACTATCGCGGCCAGGACAACGGCAGCGTATCCATCTATGCTTGTGCCAGTCCCTAATCATGACAGGAAAGGGAAACATTAAGGGCTACTTTCCATGGACGCATTTTAGTGTATTTGGGCATTCCTTCCCATCCGTTTCACACAAGATGAGGTGCCATGTAGCAAGCTTTGGTGCAAAAAGTCCAATTTTGCCGCTGAAGATGTCAAGTGCACGGAACTCCTGGACAACGAACTTCTGTGGCTGTGGCTATTTGGGTGGTGGCCAGTTCCAACTCCCTCGCAGCAAGGTGACTAGAATCCAGAAAGGGCTAACTCTCCTCAGGTGCGCAACGGGCAACTCCCCCGATTGGGCGGCAGACAGAGCCCAGTTGCTTCCGCTCGTGTGCGTTGATGCCTCCGCCATGCAGGTGTCGTGGAATGTGCCCACGCCTGTACATTGGGGCACCGGTCCCAGATAGCCAAACTACATTCCTCAGAGGAACTGTACGGCACCTCGAGCACACAAAACCTGGGGCATCACCCCACCCCATCCAAAGCCAACGTGCTCTCCCCCGCCAGCGCGCCAAACCCGCCCCCCAGCCGCCGCCCTCCTCTCTGCCTTCCGGCGGCCGCCTCCGCTTTGTCGCCCGCCCGGATCTGCGCCTCCGTTGCAATCGATGCTTCGCCTTGGGGCCCGGGGTTTCAGTTTGGCAGGGCGGGCGCTGCAGGCGCCCCTGGCAGAGTCGGCGCCGTTCGCGCAGCTACTCCTGCGGCCGCTGTCAGAGAAAGGCGAGTCGCCGGCGCAGGGAGCAGTTTCGAACACCCTTTGCTTCAAGCGTCTCCCTCTGGTCCTTGGGCGCGTTGGCGGCAGCAGGGTTCCCGGCAAACGGGGTGTGTTTTTGGTTGCGGCTGATACCCCAGTGGCAAGGCAGGCATCCAGAGATCCTCAAATTTTCTTTCTCCCCTCGTTGCCCGTTGTCCCGGCTCACTGCAAGCCTCGCGGCGGACGGAGCAGGCGTCAGACCGCGGCGCTGTCAATTCGCCATGACGTGTTCCCATGCTCTCGTTGCCCCGACGTTGGAAGACAACTGGCTGCTCCCAAGGTTCTCTGTCTCGGTGCCTTTCGATCATGTATTTCTTACCAGCCCCAATTGTCCGTGGACTTTTGGGAGGCTTGCCCAACATCCTAACCTGTGTATTGCTGTCTTGGTGGGCTTGTGCCTGCGATGTCTGAATTCTCTTCATCCCCCCACATGCAGGTTTGCCGACCAAAGTGGTGGAAATATCTACCGACCGTGGCTACAATGACGCAGTGACAAAAGCGGCAGGCAAGACAACTTGGCACGGCCTGAGGTTGGCCTGCGTGTGGCAAGAATTTGGCACTGTTGGGGTCGCAATTGGTGTCTGTTGAAGCAAGATGCTGATGCAGTTGTTTGCCTTCAATGCCTAGCCACAGAAGGGCACGTATGCGTTTGGCATTACGAACACAAATGCTGGAGCTGGGATGCGGCATTGCCTGCAAGGAATCTTGCATGCAGTTGTGCAGTTTGCAAAGTAGTGGCGGCCTCAATGTATGGCTCTGGAGGGGAGTCCCCACTGCATCACGTATTTTCATTTGGTTCCAAATATTTTGGGGGTAAAGTCTGGGCTCTGAAGACGAACAAACTGCACTGCTGCTGCTCCAGAGTGACAGTGCCTTTCTGGAACTCTAAAAACTCATGAAAGCTTGGAACTCGAGCTGCAGCATGGAATCAGTCGCAGTTGATGCAATGCAAAAGACCACGCGATCCATTTTATCGATTCTATGACAGTGCAGCATCGTGCAGCTAGAAGAGCAGACCAGCGCTGGTGATCTGTAACCAATAAGAGAATCTGAAGCATGCTGCACTCTTATGTGCAGCTGCACTGTATATTTTCCTCCTTGCATAGCTTCAGGTCTGCCAAATCGCTTTCAGGATGCAGCGGGCCTTTGTATGAGCTGCCTGCAGCCAAGTCTGTTGTTCCAGTTGCCAAAGTTGCACAACGCAATGACATTATCCAAAAGCCTTGAAGGTGATGGACCACGTGCAAGGAGTGTGTGCGATCTGTCTGAAATTTTGTGGGTCTGCCAGCAGATGAGGGGAAGCTTGCAGTCATCGACTTCACGGCGAAATGGTGTGGGCCATGTATGTCAAGGATTATGTTGATGATTGGGGATTTGCCATAAAGCTTTGACAAGGCCAGCTATACCTACACTGTCAGCACATAGAACTATGCTTATTTCCTTGCTTGCTGGTGTTCCAGGCAACCTTGACCATGTGCTGATGTTCATTTTCGTCTGGGTATTTGTTGCATGACAATATGGGGCATTGTTTGGCCTGGCGGTCATGCTGTGTGAGGAGCATGTGCTTTGGGAATGGCAATCTCAGAGCATCAATTAGTATCTTAATTGCTGGATCGCTTGCACACACTTGTTCAATTTTGTGAATTAGCATGGTTGTACCGTTGTGAGCTAGCAGCAGTGTCTGTTTGTTTGTTTCTTCCTTACATTGATGCATCGACATGACATCACGGCATCGATCAATGTAGCGTACCATCCAGTGAACAAAGGGCACGTGCGGGCCCACCTATGTAACCAAAAGTACGCCTCTAATGGTGGCCACAGCTGCCACCGAATGCTAGCAGCAGTGTGTTAGGATGAACTGTGACCAGCCATGCATGTCGCTTTGCTGAGGGTTTTCAGCATGGACATCCATGTTGGCTTGAAGTGATTCAGGTTTGAGTCAGGAATTGTCATCTGTTCAATAGTTGCATGTGGACTTGCTTATTGATTCATAAGCCTCACAGGTGATGTGGTGTGGCACAGGCAAGATCATGGCACCCATTTTCGATTCCCTCAGTGCCCAGCATCCACATGTGAGTACAATGCTGCTAGCTCCTGATTAAGGACTCTCAACAGATTTTCTTACAGCTCAAAGTTTGGCATGAATTTTAAGACTGTCCCAAGAGAAGAGATTCTGGCCTTTGGCCACCTCTTATAGCAGTTCAAGGTGATATCTGGGCTTGTCAAGTGTTGATCATGGGCCCGTAGTTAATTCCCCTTTGCTAACATTTCATCTGCTCTTGACTTCTTGCTCAGGTTCAGTTCCTGAGAGTCGACATTGATGGCGATGAAATCGCAGAGACTGTCACCAAGCATCTGATTACTCAAGTGGTGAGTTTCATTGTCCTGTCTCATTGCTTAATCGAGAATTAAAATAGTGCTTCTCCATCACCCACTGAGCGATGTTGGGAGATTAATTCCACCGCAATATGTTGCCATGGTCGAGATCCAGTGTCCATGATATTGCAAAGATCTCTGTTGGGAGCAAAAATAGGAATTGAATTGATGTGTGCGATTGGGGTTTCGTGACTAGTCCGTGCATACTTGCCCTTGACTTTGAACCACAAATCAGTCGGGGTTCTTCCTTGCTCAGGTTTATGCTTCTCCTGCCCTGAGACATTGTCATGTGCACAGCCAACGTTCAAGTTTGTGAGGAACCTGGAGACCATCGAATCTTTCAGCGGGGCAGACAAGAGACGACTCGAGGACTCTGTCTCAAGGCTGGCAAAGGAGTGACAGGAGTTCGTGAGGGCAGCGATGCTGCCACCACAGTGGCCCCAAGCACTTGGCATGATGAAAAGAGGCTGTAGCAGCAACGCAGGGAATGTGGCATGTCTCTCTTGCCTTTGCGGAAACTGATCCCCATCGCGGCCTGGCTGCCAAATGAACCCTGACTAGTACACACAGGGTGCAATGATTTGGACTCCCTTGTGCTGAGGAGATTTGCGCCAGAAGTAGAACTATGTGTGTGGACATTGTTGATGCCCAGTTTGATGATGATGCCATTTGGATGTGCGTGTCTTTGTGGCGGCACCTCATGCTTTGCAGTAGTAACGTTGCTCTTTGAAACGCACTGGTGCTGGGGTTGGATGCTAGCAGGTCGCCATCCTAGTCAGATTTATGGCCACGGTGGCATGAGGGTGTCCTGCGCCAGCGAGCCGGGTTTTCTCATTGTCCCAGGTGCAGCGACTGGAACACAGGGAGCTTGTATCATGAGCTTAGGCACCTCTCGGTGGGTTGTATGTTGGCCGGCTACGGCTCCTCAGCTTTCATGCTCAAGGTGGTGTATCGCACACAGCTTGTGCACTGAGTTTTCGGCACTTTATTGCCAGCCCGCCACTGGTGTCCAGAATGGACGTGCAGCCGTGCATTACCTCGTTCCTCAACCTGCTCTTTGTGCGCATCAGGGTGCGAACAGGACGGGGGCGCATTATACAGCCGGGCAAGAGGGCAATATATGACGGGTACTTACAGTAGGCCGTTGGTTTGGAAAACTGAGAAGTGCCAGAATGACAGGGGACCAAAGCCCATAACAGTTGGTCCCACATTCATGCGGAAGAGGATCTCGCCAAGCATCTCGCATTTTCAAATTCTGTGCAAGCATCCCATTGTCAGCCGAGAAAAAACATGAAGACCTGCAATTCCTCGGAGGGAGACTCGAAATATTGATTGGATATTTCTGCATCACCGTTGCCTGCGTTGCGCAAAGGGTTTGTTGGCCATGGCCGCTCTGACAACTGGATTGCATGGATTCTGCGGGAAAGCCTCTACGTTTTGATCTGCACCAAAGTGGAGGAATGATGCAATGAGGGTGGCCTCACCCAGCCACCCCCAACACAATTGTGAAATTTTATCAAGGGAGCGATTCAACCAGCTTTGGTACACTGTCACATGTCAGCATTTCAAAAAACAAGCAGTCTGTGGTAACTCGGGTTTCAGACGCAGTTTCGAAAATACCGGGAGCCAGGGATGTCGATGCCAAAGAACAACACGTCAGGACTCCGCAGCAATGCCTTGCACCTCTGCGGAGTTCCAAAGCCGGAGCGTAGCAGAAGGCAGTGCATGCCGCCAATGTCCCTATGAATGGGAGAACACAGGTCTCTCTGCTTCCCATTCTTGCCACTGTCATAGGCGGCAATCTCCAAAACTTTGGCAATGTTCCCGATATGCATGCACAAATTACCATCGGTGGGTCTCTGGATGGCACTCGAGTTAGCAGCAAAGCTGACTTCCCTTGTTCCGCGCAGCCCCCTTGCCCCATCTGGGCGCAGCTGCATCTCGAGCGACGCCCATCCAGTAAAGCACCGATCAAATGTTGTCGACATCTGTGCCCGGACATGGCACGACCCTTCGGGGTGAGCACAATGGAATTCGACATACGGAGGGCACCGTATACCGATTCACCGCGTCAAAATGCGACCGAAATCGCTTCACACAGGACGCTGGGCTTATCGCTATGCAGGGAATCGCCCGCCCGACCGTCAGGTCCCACCCTCATTTTGTGAGGAGGCCCGTTCAGGTGCTCCGGTAGCAAGGTGAATGCTCTTACAGACCGGGGGCCGCTACAATGCGCACCCCCACCACTTTATACATTCTCATGACGAGGGTCATACGACAAAATGCAAAAGGTCCACCATAAGGTCCATCTAGGGATCCGGATCTCCCCACAGCCACACGTCTGGATACCCCTTACAGCCTGACCTTCGCACCGCCCTACTGGTCATCTCATCAAACCCTTTTGATCCTTCTCTCATACACAACGTCCATTTCAGTTCACCCATATCATAGCTTTGCCCGTCCGCATACCCTCAGGACATCCCACTGAATCTCTATACGGTCTAGTCAGTACTTACAAGTCACATCAAAAAATCCTGCGTCCGGCAGCCGCACCCCGCACCATGCGCTACCCCAGTCACCCATGTTTCTCTGCCGGCAGCGTCTCCTCACGGTCGAAGTCAGGCCTGGGCTTGTGCCCCTGAAGCCATCCCTGGACTTCGACTCGGACGGCATCAACCCTCCACTTCTCCTTAATTTCCATGTCGCGCGCATGCCACTCTCCAATCGCCCTTCGCAGAGATGGCGACCGCATATCCTTCCTGGGAGGGGTTGGTGGCAGGTGCATCAAGAATGCCCTGTCCGCCTCCAGCGCCTTCACCCTTCCATCCTCCAGGAATGCCTCTTCCAACGACTGCACCTTCAGCCGCTTGTGGAAATAGTCATCAATCACGTTCAGTCTGGCTGCTCGAATGTCGTTTTCAATCGTCTCCATGGCCCGCCAAATGACCGGCTTGTTGTCCAGCAGCCGTAGCTGCGACAACTCATTGTCTCTTCGGGCCGCATCCCACGCCGGCTTAAGACCGATGTAACACATGGTCTCAAACTGCGCTATAATCTCCGTGCTGACAGCTGGAGCCAACGGTTGCATGTTGAGGGACGATTGGAAGCCCATCCCGGCGTGAAGAACCGCATCGAAAATCTTCTGGTCGTCTGCCAGCGAATCCTCCCACACAGACATGAGGGCGCCGTGCAAATCCCGCGCTCGCCTCCACTTCTTGTCTTCTTGTGGCTCTCCACTTGAGTCTGACGCCTGCCCGCTTGGCACCGCAAGTCGTGCCACCTGGAATTGCTCCAGCTGACTGCAGAAATCCCGCACTTCGTTAAGCCCCGGAAGAGACTGGGCATGGCGCCACTCCAAGATCTTGTCGATGCGGGAGTTGCCCTAAGACCCGGCCATCTTTGCTCAGCTCACAGGCGACACGGAGGGTTTCCACGATCGCACAGCGCGAAATACACATGGAACCCATGCACGTGCGTCTCAACATCCCGTCCGTAGCCTCCTGACTGACCATCAGTCAAATCAGTCATTTCTCAGGCATATCGAACAGCCTGGTTCCCTGTGGCCCCTCAATTCCCAGCGAATAATCCCGCTAAAATCCTCAATTCTTTGTCAAATGAAAGATGGAAAACACCATTCGCTTACAAATCAAATTTCTGATCGACTGATACCTTTCCTACCCCATAATGACCCCTCTTACCCTGTAATGACAGTCCAGAAAGCGTGCCCCCCAGCTGGCCCTTTTCCGTGTGGCTCACGGTGTAGTAACATACAGGCCAAAATGATGGCGCCCGATCTTGCCCGATTCTGCCAACGATATCTTGATACCTCATCACACCGCACCCGCACCAGGCCCCCGTTGAGTCATTCCCAAGGACTGTCCGTCAGGCCGCGGAGCCTGCCGTCCCCGCTAACCCCACGCAGCCCCGCCCAGGGTTCCGGGCCAATGCGTTTCATGCACAGGGACTCCGCCGCAAACCTCTGCCGGTCAGCGGGCGCCGTTTCGCCACTGGCAACTCCCGCCATTGATGGGCTCCCCCCGAAGTCCCTGCCTCAAACCCGCCCTCCATGGCCAGCCATTCCCGCAGAGCCCCCTCCTTAGATCCGAGCGCCTCAACCTCCCTCCTGCCGCTGCCGTTGCCCTCTGCCTCACCGCTCCATGCCTCCACCGCAAGGGGGCCCCGCCTCCCCTCTTGAGGGCATAGCTCCCGCACCATCCCTGCCAATTCTAACGGCCCGTTTCTGCAATGCCACCTCTAACCAGCCTCCCTGCGCTTTGCCACCTGCTCCGCCGACTGTGCTCGTTAGCCATCCACTCATTGCCTCTCCAGCCATCCACCTTCCTTGCTACCGCGCGCCGCCTCTTGATCTCCATCTTCTCGCCTCAACCCCAATGGCATTCTATTGCCTCCACCCACTCCCTCTTCCTCCCCGTTGCTGCCGATCGCTGCGGCTGGGAACGGCATGCATGGCCGCCTGCGAGGTGCCACACTTGCAGTTGTTGACTGCATGGATCGCGCCACCCCTGGTGTCCCTGCGCAATTCACCAGGGGCCCATTTTGACAGGCCTAGCTTGCCATTCTCCGCTCTTAGTCTCACCCGATCACTTTTTGAGCATGCCACTTGCCGTCTACCCATAATCCTGCACACCTTTGCAGCAAGCGATGCCACAACGAACTGCCAATTCCAAGGCCGTCGCCCTCTCCCACCTAAACATCGCCCACCCTCTGCCTCAACCTCCCCTCCCACTCCGCGCCTCCTACGCTGCGCCTCCCCCATGCTCCCCTACCTGGCCCCCTTCCCACACGCCCTGCATTGACGCCTCCAGCAACGCCTTCCCCGCACAACCCCAGCCTACCACCCGTCCTCACAATGCGTCGTGCCTGACTGCCGTGAGGTCGCCCGCCTCCTGACTCCCTAAAGACCACACTCAGATCGCTCATCGCCAATGTCTTGTAGCTCCTTCTAGGCGTGCTCCTTTCTGCTTGGGGCGCGC